CATCATCGTTGCAACAAATAACAATTGTAACCTTCTCTTTATTTTGCTTTTGGCCCACCAATTACTTTGTTGCAAGAGAAGTATCGGCTTGCATTCGATAAAATAAACTAGTTTCATCCATATTGTAAGTGTCTTTCCAAGCCCATTTGTTTAATTCATCTTCTATTGGTGGCAAAATAGTATCAATTTTCTCCATATCATCTGAACCATTCTCCTCAAAGTAATAGAAAGAATGAATTGCATTTTGTTGCTTGAACTTTTCCAATTATCCATTTGAAAATTGAAATGAGATAACTTCGAGATAGAGTTGCCTTAAAATAAAATTCCTTTCTGTTTTAGCATTACCACTCATATTAACATGCTCTTGATGGCATAAAAATCATTTATAGAGGGTACACTCTATTGCTGGTACATTAGTGTCTTTCAACGTTTTGCATTTGCGTTCTACAATACTTCTTAAGGAGGTCGGTTGAAAATTTGATTGTCTTAGATATTGCAACTTGTGGTACCTTAAGACCTTAAATATATTCTAACTGGTTCACAAGATCTTTTAGCTTTCAGATAGGGTTTGAGTTTTTCATTTTGCACAACTCCATACAAATATTTTCGATTGGTTGAGTTTGTACATTAATTTTTGATAGCATGGTGAATTTGCTAGAGAAAGAAAGAAATGTATCACTTCAATTGGTTGAGCATTGCATAGGTTGTATTATATAAAATGTATTCACAAATTGAAAAAAATAATAATAATAATAATAAATACATCGAAGAGAATATAGGCTTTTAGACTTTTAAGATTAATGCTTTGCATATTTTTGACACTAAATGAATACATATAATAGTTTTTTTAATATTATGTCATCTCTTTTTTTAGTGTTTATACCTTGATTTTAACATTCTTCATTTATTAATTATATTAATATAGTATATATAGGCACTTCCAATTAGGATAATTAAGTCAAAATAAGATTTTTTGTGATTACACCTCTATGAAGTTAACCTCCTCATAGTAATGAAATTAGTTCGGTCCCAACAGTATGACTATAGAGAGGTTTTAATGAACATCGAAGACATAAGTTAAATTTAAATGAATGAATACGTCAATCTATGTGGGCTCAATCTCTTAGATAAGTGTTCAACGAATTATTAATTTGAAACATAATTCAGCGTATTTAATTAGATTAATTTGACTGTCTGATCATCCTTCATCAACTAATGGTCTATTAATCATCAGTTTTTTTTGGTAGACAGGTGAAAGAATTTCTGCCTAATGCATTAGGAGTTCTTCTTTGTCTCACCAAAAAAAAAAAAAAAAATTCAACTTTAATGTCAACAATTAATTTTAACAAAATATTTCTTATGACCCAGAATTTTTATCAACTTTTCAAAAATTTATTTCATCAATTTTTTTATCAAAATTTATTTAATTATAATTTTTCGCTACAACAAACAAAGATAAATGTCAGTGTGTTGAAAGGTAGTTGTTGGGCAACAAAACTAGTATATAAGCCCACTTGCATGATATTCTTAATGCATCTCAACATATATTCCTAAGCCAGCCGTAATAAAACTAAGGTTGCAAATATGAGAGTTTGTGGGTTGTTTTTTCTCTGTCTTTATGTTGTTTTAGCGGGTACTGTTCTTGCCAGAAATTTGGATGATGAAGAGAAATTTCTGTTCGGGAAGGGAGGTTGGTTTGGTCATGGTTTTGGCCACAATGGTGGTTTATTCCCTCCTGGTGGATTTGGCCCAGGTGGCGGTCCTGGCCGCCCGGGTGGTGGTTTGTTCCCTCCTGGCGGATTTGGCCCGCATGGTGGCTTGTTTCCTCCTGGCGGATTTGACCCAGGTGGTGGTTTGTTTCCTGGTGGACCTCCCTGATTCGCTTGTGACAGGGATTTAAAACATCAAGAGTGGGCTTTGCACAATCAGTATATATATGGCACTACTTTGTACTAATATATTACACAATAATTTCGAACCGTTCACTACAAATACTTGTACCTGTGTGAATTCTACTTCATAATAAATAATTTCTTTACCTACTAATCATCTCTTAATTCCTCTTCCTAAGATCCTTTGATTAGTTTTCATTATGCAGATTCCGAAATACTACGAAATATATATGTACAAATTACGTGGCTTCTGAACTGATTAACGTTGGAAACTAAACTATTCTCCTAAAAAGTCAATCCTAAGTATTTTCTAACACAATCAACAAATTCAGATTATACAAAAGAGTCTACCAATGGTCAAAGTGATCCATCTACGTACTTTAACCACAAAACTTAGATGAATCCTATCCATTCAATTAGATAATCCGTCAATTATTCTTTTTAAAGCGAAATTGGAGGAAACAAAGCAATTTTTTCACAATATGATACACAAGTCGAATTCATATTATACCATCGATTTTTCATTACTTAAATTACTTTAAGATTCACAAGATTATTCGTAAATAAGAATTTGTTAAATATGAAATGCGACGTATTTTTGTCAATCAAAAGGTTTACTTTTTCATCTATGCATAATTTTTAAACTTTACGATTTTCTGATGAAATATTTATTTAGTGCTGAAGAAGATTTAGTCGAAAATATAACTTGACAAACCCAGCCTTGAGCCTACTCACCAAATTTAAGAAGAAAATCGGAACATATATAATCTACTATTAATTACATTATTTCACGTAAATATGTAAAGAAATCAAATTAGTCAGGCGTTATCCAAAAGTTCCAAATCAAAATAGAAAATGGAAGTTATTTTGTAAGTAACTGAAACGCTAAACCCCTTAAACTTTGTACTGTGACCATTCAGAATCATCACATTCACTCCATGAGCTTTCTTAAATAACTATTTCGAAATACTTTATTTTTCCTTTTAAAGTTTTCTCCCTTTATGGGGAATCGGGGGTGATTGAGGTTCAAAAAATGAAAGATTATGCCTAATTTGTCAGCTTAGACCTTTGCCTTTATTTGTAGTCAATTTTATTTTTATTTTTGAAGAACAAAAAATTATGCATGCATCCCTCTGCAAAATCTATGTATGCCTGATTTTGTGTGGGAAGGGAAGGGTAGGGGAAGGGGTTGTTTTTAGGTGAAATGTAATATTGATGGCATCATTCAATACAATCTTTCCTTAATATAAGGTCTAAAAATCCTAATTGAGTTATACTACAAGTACATAATTTTTGCACAGAGTCAGATGTCAAAACATCATTCAAATTCAAAGATGTGAAAAAACATTAAACATAGACGGACAAAATTTTTCTATTTCAAAATCTTGTATGAATTCTGTAAGTTTTCCCTGTAGGGAAAAATCCTAATTTTAGAATTATTGATGCAGTTCTATTTTAAGTTACTGCAATGTCGTAGATAATATAATTTGACAGGACGATATTCCTCTTCTAACTTTAGAGCCTATTTGGGAGTGATTTTAAGAATTGATTTTTTGACCGTTAGGAGAAAAGTGTGTTCCACCTGTGAGAGAAGAAGTCAAATATGACGGTTGGAATAGCAAAATAACGGTCAAAAAATCAAATTTTTGGGTGAAAAAATCGGGCCCAAACAGCCCCTTAGTTAGTAGGATTTAATTAAATTATCGACTGAAAATGATGATGAAGAAATCGAGCAAGATTACTAGCAGATCAGATCCACTGTCTTCTAATGTTGTTGTGTCTAAAGATTCTTTATGTGCTCCGTCATTGCATGCCCTTCTAGATACAACTTGTGCCAAAGTACCTTATCTTATCTACGCATCTTGGTGCAATTTTAAGGAGAAATGTATATCTATACTTAATTTCTAATATAGCAATAGGTTTAAATGTCATTGTCGAAGAGAAATGTAAGTTAGCAATAAGTATTCTAAACATTAATTGCATTATTATTATTTTTTTTCTCTATATTCAGCGTTATAAAAATGCTAATTGGAGATATTGAAGGTTGTTGTGAACAAATTGCTTAACAGCTGTATAGCATATATGTCAAAGGTATGCTCTCTCTTTATAAGTTAAACAACTCTTTTTAACACATTTTTTTAGTGAAATCGCTACAACGGTGTAGTATTTATTCATAACTCTTTTACAAATCAGACCGTCAAACACGACTCGCATCTAACATTCCAAATTATTACTCTCGAACAAATAAGAATTCCCTCTTAATGTCATGCATTCAGTTGATGTATGTAGTTGTGTCTAATGATCCGACATTAACTTGCACGATACAATTTGATTTTTAGGTCACTATTAAAGGTCGAATGGCAAAATCTGTTTGGATCCCCACGGAGTATCCCTCATTAACCAGTAGCACTTCATTTCAAACTTATTGGTTATACATTTTAGACATTAGTATCGAAGAGAAAGAGCTTTCACGCACGTGAAATTTAAATATTTTAAAGAAAGATATGCCTTCTTGAACTGAAAATCTGATATAATAAGTCTAATAAAACTTAAATCAAATTCTAGTTGAGCTTCCTTGCATACAAGAAAATTATGAAATGGCCCTTCACTGCACAAAATATCTTTGCTACAGCATGAAACTTGCCATTTCCCATATTAGCAAGAAAATATCTCGCCCCCAGGGCACATCTCCAAGTGGTAAAAGGGAAGGTTGAAAAAATCCAGCTTTGCTTGAGGCTGCCGCGTCAAGGGTTCGAATCCTGAAATATGGATTTGGCTCTTGGGTAAGTACAAGTGTACAAACAGTCTTCCACCTTGTACCCTTGGACTCATAACTTGCGATTTACCTCCCTCACGATACTCCAAGGCAGGGGCGATGTGGGACCCTTAAGGTTGGGGTTCAACCTTTTAGGAAAATATCTCTATGGATCATCAAATTTTATTGGTAGGCACGTGAAAGCATTTCTGTCTGATGCATCTTACCAAACACTTGGTGATGGATTTTTTGTACGGCATTAGTGAACTGGTAGTTGTTAGGGGCCATTAAATGCATTATCTGAATGATGGGGACAATAGAATTATAAGTATATAAACCCTCTTGTATGATGCTGTTAATGGGATTCTGAAACATATATTCCTCGGAAAGTTGTAATAACATTATGGTTGCAATGAAAGTTGGGGAGTTGTTATTTCTTTGTTTTTATGTTGTTTCAGTGACTGTGGTTGCTTCTATAAATGTGAATGATGAAAAATGGTTCTGGTTTAAGCACGGCCCTGGTGGTTTGTTACCCCCCGGTGGATTTGGTCCTGGCAGTGGTTTGCTCCCTCCTGGTGGTGGTTTGTTCCCTCCTGGGGGATTTGGCCCTGGCAGCGGTTTGCTCCCTCCTGGTGGTGGTTTGTTCCCTCCTGGTGGATTTGGCCCTGGCAGTGGTCTGCTCCCTCCTGGTGGTGGTTTGTTCCCTCCTGGTGGATTCGGTCCAGGTGGTGGTTTTGGCCCGGGTGGTAGATTTGGCCCAGGTGGCGGATTTGGTCCTGGTGGTGGATTTGGTCCAGGTGGTGGATACCGCCCGGGCCCTGGATTTGGCCCTCGTACTGGTTTTGAAGTTGGTGTTGGATTTGGTGGCGGCCTTAAAACAGATGGTGGTTCTGGTAGCAGAATTGGAAAAGGCAGTGGAGTTGGGAAAACTGAACGCCACTGATTCTTCTTTTGTTGCATGCACTCAAGACACTATGTACCTGTCTGTGTGATTCTTGCTTGCTAAATAATTTCTTGATCAGTGTATTACAAATTCCGATTAGACATTCTGTCGACTTGATCATTATAATCCACTTGTCAAATTGATATCATACCGTCCATTCTACTTTATTACTCAATTTCTTCTGATAAATATCTTAAAATAAAAATAAAAATAAAAATAAATAGAAGAAGAAGGACAAACATTTTTTCACACTCACAAGTCGAATCGATATCATATGGTCGATTTTTTCATAATTAAGACTAACTCTAAGAGACAGGGAATACACTTTTAAGAGTTATAAACTAGTAGAAAATTATTTCTGGTGATATAAATATTATTATTATTGTAAGGGTGGTTCTTTTTGGGGGAAAAAAATCAGGAGTTACAAAGTCTACAACTACTACTCCTAATTATTATTATTATTATTTATTTTTTTTGGAAAGCTACTAATTAATTTAAGAACAACGGGGTTACATAATCTACTACTAATTAATTTCTGTCACCGAATTACGTAAAGAATTCAAGTTAAATAAGCATTAATTCAATATTTCCAAATTAACTGAAAAATAAAAATTACCTTCTCTGCAGATTTTAAGTTTCTTTCTCGAAAAATGTTTTTGGGTTCTCAGTTTTATTTTTTCTAATTGCGTTGTAGATTTTCTTGTTTCTGAATATGAGTCATCCCATTTTATATCAATAAAAATATTTTATTTTTCACTTTTGAAACGTCCTCGTCGTAACCACTCGGGTGTTACCTGAAAAAATTAAGCAAAACACCAAGGCTTGAGTCAATAAAAGATACAAAATAATGTTAACAAATTTGTACGTATAGCATGTGTATTAAAAGTTAATTCAAACCTAGAAACCTGCCAACAACTATCTCAGTTTCTTGAACAGTTGGATATATTATATTGGCGCAGAACTAATTAACACTAGTCTATAAAAGGGTTGGTATCAATTTACTTTTTCTAGTTAACTGGCTTCTTCAACTAAGAACATTGCACTTATTTTCTTGATTGTGTAATGGCTGGGGAAGAAAATGGGGAAGATGGGACTATGGATGTCAAAGGGAACCCTATTCTTAGATCCGAGAATGGAGGATGGACTGCTTGTTCTTTTATTCTCTCTCTCTCTCTCTCCACTACTCAGTGCACTCTTATCTTTTCCTACTTTTAACTGTTGGGAATTGGGAAGGGCAATATATATTCTCTTTGTTTTCCCATGTTGGTTTTATCAATACCTATCTTGTACACAACTTGTTTCCTTTGTATCTTCTCTCAAATCTGGTGATTTGAGGATTATAGTTAATCGATCCCATGGTTTTCCAGTCTACGAAATGCACTTCTCCAATTAACGTCACCCGTCTCCACTATCAAACAATATCGCAAGAGTAATGTTATTCATCAGTAGCGATGATCATAACTACTTTAAATGATAGTGGCCTATGGTTTATTGTCCAACATAAAAGTTGATGTTTAGAACCAACTTTTATCAAAAAGATATTTTGAGCTATCAAATTAATTGGTTGGTTGTCTCATCAGCTGTAAATCTTATATATGGCCTACTCCAAAACCTAAATTTCTTAGCTACCTCTTCCAATCAAAGATTCAGGAAAAATTGTCATGGCCCATTTTGTCCATAACGAAGTTCGAAGAAGCCTAATGACACAAAGAAAGAACCACATCTTAGTTTGGACAATTTAGTCCATATTGAATACTTCTCAAAATAACTTTTTTAGCATCAAACGTCGCACCATAAACTTTTTAAGATACAAAGACCGTTAGTGAAATGAGTCTCTATGAGGCAATTTTTTCTACTTGCAGAACGTAAATGATGTACAGGTGGCGACCCACCCAAAGTTAGGTTCGAAATATAAATTCACACCTTTATGTAATGGCAGATATTTTACCACCTTGCACTTAGTTGAACAGCTCATATAACAATCATATATCATAAAAATTCGCATCACATTTTGACTTGTATAAATGACCTTTGTCTTGTGCAGTTTATGAAGTTTTTGAACGTATGGCCTATCATGGGATTTTATCGAATCTCATCATTTACTTGACCAGAAAATGCATCAAGGCACATTTAAATCAATCAATAATGTCACCAATTGGCAGAGGCAGATCTAGAAAATCATGCTGGGAAGCTAAAATTTAAAATATATATGCACAAATTTTTATAAAGTATACGATATAAAGTTTCATCAAGACATGACTGACTGAAATTATCTCCGTTGAGCTCAAGAATCAGAGTCAGAGATGAAACATGAACTAAAGAACACGTTGCCACCAGTATCATTTTCTTTGTGACTTGTGGAAGCTTGGGCCTTTGGGCATTTCCAGAATTAACGGGAAGAATTTGAGATTTGAGAATTTGAGGAGTATGAATGCATGATTTAATGATTAGGTGGGTTACTAGGTTTGGACTTTGGAATGGATTCAATGGGGGTTACTAGGTTTGGACTTTGGTATGGATTCAATGGAAATCATGGAATGGACTTAATCTCTGGGCTAATTTTTTATTTTTTGGACTGGGATTGGATTTAACGATTTAATGGAGTCAAACAGTGGGCTAATGTATTAGGTGGGTTAGTGGGTTGGACTTTGGAATTGGAACAATTAGCTAATTATAATTTTGGGCCGAGCTATAAAAGAGGAAATTACACCGAAGCACTTTTTTGAATTTTCCAATTCAAAAATCAAGTTTAAAAATTGTTTATTCAAAATTCAGGTGAAAATTTATTTTTTAATATTAATAATAATATTAAAAAACTAAATTAATCCATCTTATCAAATTTAACTTCCAAACCCTAATCATTTCCATCTCTTCTCTTTCTCTCACTTCTCGCCTCTCTCTCTCTCTCTCTCAAACGGCCTTCTTCTCCATCTCTCTTCTATCCTTGTTCTCTTTCTTGTGCTGGTCAATACCCCCGTTGTTGTGAGCGCAAGTGCAGCATCTGACACAAATGGCAAGTTCGTATCTCTTGGTCTTGCAAAAAAGTCCCTCAAAGAAGCCAATGAGGGTTGATGGATCTCATCCATAGAGAAATGGACTTTATCAACTATTGTCTCTAAAGCAAGCGCTAAAAGGGCTTTGCATTTCTCAGGCTGTCGAGAGTTGGATAGGGACATATCTGTTTCAATTAAAGTTGGGGAATCTGACTTTTCTCTAGCTAAAGGTGGATTAGACTTTGATCGATTCTGTTAGGTGACTAGACAGTGGTATGGTGATTTTGAGAATGTGATTTTTAAGATAGTGTGATTGATGGGTGCCGTCATAGTGTTATTGATGGGTGTCGTCGTGGTGGGTGCTATGTCGAGTGGTAATTTTGAGAATGTTAGTGTAGCCGGCGGTGTCACGGTGACTCGATCTAGTTGGCGGAAGACAACAAGCGGTAACTTTGGGACGATTTTTTTGGTGTTTTGGAAATGATGGTGGTGGTGCGTGCTGTGGATTTCGGCTGCCATGGTGAATTTGTTTGGAAATGGTACTGTTGTGGTAGTAACGATGATAATGAGGTGAGAGTGGCTGTGATGGTAGTAGTGGTGTGATAGTGTTGGTGACGGTGGTATGTGACCACTATTTGGTATATATGACCACCCATTTAGTTATCTATGACAAATTGGTTAATTGTAACTTAAAATTTTGATAATATGTGACCTGTAATTTTTTGATTTGTGACTTCGAAATAAAATGTGACCTATAAAATTTATGATTTGTAACTTTGAAATAATATGCGACTTATAAAATTTCTGATTTGTGATCTCGAAATAATTTGTGACTAATTAATTTAATGATATGTGACTTATAATTATTTACCTATGACCATTAATTTTATATTTATGATTTTATTATATTTGATTAATAAATATTTCTAATTAATTAAATATATATCTGAATTTTGAATTTTCAAACTATTTACCTTATTTCTGAATTGGTGTAAATAATATATCTGATATATGAATTTTCCCTAACTTTTTTCAGAAATTTTACACACACAAATGGTATCTAGCCGAAGACTGCACTAGGCTACAGCTCAATCTAGCTAGGTCCTAAATCTGCTCCTGTCAATTGGGTAGGCACCGTTTGGATGACTCCTATCTTGGGTGCATATCCCGCAGATGCTCTTTATAATATCCCGAAATTTTTTAGAATATAATTTAATTTTATTTATGCTATATTTTTAATGTTTTGAAAGTTTAGGGACTAAAGTGTATATAAAGTAAACTTAAATAATATTTAGATTAAAATATAAATATTGACGGGACGATGATAAGTATACGGATATTGGGCTCGTTGGATAGATAATAATTAAAGACGCATTTTAGACTCGAGAAAAAATTTATTTGGGTTAGTCGAGCCCAAGTTATCGAAGCCGGAAGATATAACATTAAAATATTAATTTATTACTTTTGTTTGGAAGAATTTACGTGGAGAGAGAGATGAAAGTTGTTGAGATATTTTATTATTTTATTATTAATAATAATATTTTATTAAGTGTGTTTTGCATTGAGAGGTCTTACGTGAAGTACTAGGATTCTAAGTAGGTGGTTGGTATGTGATAATTGATTTGTTTATTAAATGAAATAAAGTGTAGAGAGAGAGAGAGAGAATTATGGGAAGCCACGTTCCTAATGGTTAAAACAAATTCCCTTGTATATATATGGTGCATTGCCATGTGTAAGATATAAATTATTTTTTTTCAAATTGTGGGTAGTTAGCAAGATTTGGGTCAAGATTCTGTTTCAACTATTTTGATCCATATCTCCTTCCCCACTCCCACACGTTTCATCATTTTTTTTTTTATATAGATATTTTTATTATATCATATGAAAACAATAGTTTTCATTCACTTCACTGTAATATTATTGCACGATAAGGCAGAAAGAAAAGAAAAGATAGTTGCAACGTGATTTTGGGTTTTCTTATTCCAAGAAATTGTTGGAGCGTGAAC